AATCAAATGCCTTTGCATAGTCAATAAAACACAAGTAAACATCTTTCTGGTATTCTTTGCCTTGAGCCAAGATCCATCTGACAACAGCTATGATAGCTTTTTACTTTTTTTTTTTATTTCAAAAAGTAAGCATAATGTGAATATAATTTACAGGTCTGGCATTGATCCCACATACATTTGTGCCAAATTCTGCCCTAGACTATGGAGAGAAAAAGGTGATATGATATAGCCCTTGACTTCTAGAAGATTACAGTTTGATGTTGTTACAGTGTTGTGATGACAAGTAGGCTTCTATGATGTCTACTCTGGGAGACATGTAGGGGCTGCCAGAAGTGAAGGGTTAATGGAGGTTGGGAAGCCACAGCCATAGTCTGCTAGCACTGTGATGAGTGGGTGCCAGGAGGGGAGAGGGGAAGTGGCCGCATTGGTGCTAGATACTTACTAGTTCTGTGATAGAGTCACATATTTTCAGAATGAACTTAAGTTTCAACTTTGAAGATAATCTTTACTTCTTCTTTCACTTGATTTTGATGAATTAATTAGTCCAGTTTCAGCACCTTTGACCAAGATATCCTTACCTGGCTTGTAGAATAGTCTCTCTCCTTGTAGAATAGTCTCTCTCTCTCTCTCTCTCTCTCACTCTCTTTCTCTCTCTCTCTCTGGTCCTGCTTCCTTTATCTTCTATGTTTCTTTTTCATTCTCCCTTTTTTTAATTTCTCCTTGTTTCTAAAGCCCACCCTTCAGGCCTTTTCAGCCCTTGCTAGGCATTGTCCTTTAAAAGATAGTGAACCAACCCTGTTTTGTCTAAGTTAACATTCATGTATAACTACATATATTGTATGAATATATTTTCAGCGATTCATGGTCATCTTTTGATATATTTTAAAAGCATATGATAAACAGTTTTTTTTTTTTTAACTATCTGATAATTTAGCTCTAGTAGCATAGTGGCTAAAGCACTTGACTGCTAACCAGAAGGCTGGCGGTTCAAACCCACCAGCCACTCCTCGGAAGGAAGGTTGGGCAATCCTACTTCCGTAGTGATACTGCCTCGGAAACCCAAGGAGGGGTCGCTATGAGTCGGGGCCGACTCGACGGCACATAACAACAACAACAACAACAATCTGATAATTTATCTTTCCCCTGGAAACTAATTTCAAAAAAAAAAAAAAAAAAAACCCATGATTTTAGCTACAGTCCAGAAGCCAAGAGGCTGTTTACTCTTTTCCAAATGCCAAGAATATAACCTTCAAAACATTCTATGCTCTGAAGCAGAGGTCGTGTTTTGTTTTTGAGAAAAGTGTATGTATCAAAATGACACAGACTGCAGACCAGAATTGTGCTTTAAAAGAAAAAAAGGTCTCATTCAGCTAACGGAACTTTGCACATGATTGATATCAACAGTCCATATCAACAACTAATCTTTTGAAACTTTGGAAATTTTTTTTTGTGCTGAGGGCCAAAGTCTTGGTCTGCGCTCTTATTATTTCCAGGTTGGATAATTATAACGGTCCTTTCCTGTTGCTCTTGCATTTTTGTGTGTAGGTCATACACAATTCAGCAGCCTACTGAGTTCCTCTACTTGTTTTGCCACTCAGCTCTACTGCTGTTGGGCTTTTGGAAAGTGAATGTCCACCTGCTTAAGTTCAAGGCATAATTTTCACAAGGCCCTTCAGAATTCTTCAGATTTCAGGGACGCACTTGCAGACCCCAGTTTCTGTTTCTCTTCTCTCCCATAATTAGTGTTCTGTTTCTGATTTGTCATTTATTATACCATCTGTGCCCTTGGCAACATCCAGGTATTGTGTGTTCTGAAATACTTGGCTCTCAACTTGGTAAAATTCTCACCCATATAAGATGAGAACTGCTGACTCACTGAATACCATCCCTGGCTATGCCAGATTTTCTCACTTGGATAGAAGACAGTTTATTTTTCAAATATTTGCTAATTTAAGTCATTCTCTTTCTGAACTTAATTACATAGCTCCAACTATATGCAAATTAATGAAATATTTATTTTATGTCTGTATATGTATGCATAGACCTGCAAAACATGGCATTCAAAGCACTGTACTTTCTGGCTCACACAGGCCTTACACTAACTTAAATCTCTGGCAAGAGGCAAATGACCTATGGTTTCTGGAACTCATTTATGTCATCTATAAAGCATATTAGCATAGTGCCTAAGGCACTTGACTGCTAACCAGAAGGTTGGCAGTTCAAACTCACCAGCCACTCCTCAGAAGGAAGGTTGGGCCATCTACTTCCATAATGATACTGCCTCAGAAACCCAAGGAGGGGTTGTTATGAGTCGGGTCTGACTCGATGGTACATAACAACAACAACAACAGAAAGCATATTAGCAATCTCTATCTGCCTACCTCATTGTTAATGTGCTTGGCTGCTAGCCATAAGGTTGGAGGTTCAAATCTACCAAAAAAAACTCAAAACTCACTGTCATCAAGTCAGATCCAACTGACAGTGACCCCTCCTTGGGTTTCTGAGGTGGTATCACTATGGTGGTAGATTGCCCAATCTTCCTTCCAAGGAGTGGCTGGGGACTTTGAACCACCAACCTCTAGTTAGCAGTCAAATGCCTTAGGCACTATGCCACCAGAGCTCCCAAATCTACCAGAGGTGCCTCGAAAGAAATACCTAGTAATCTACTTCCAAAAAATCGGCCATGAAAACCTTGTGGATGCCAGCGTTCATTTCAGCACTATTCACAATGGCCAAAAGTTAGAAACAACCTAAATGCCCATCACCAGATGAACAAATAAAAAAAATGCAGTACATGCATACAATGGAATACTATTCAGCCAGTAAGAGAAATGAAGTCTTCATATAGGCTGTAGTATAGATGGAGCTCTAAGACATCATGCTGAGTGAAATAAACCAATCACAAAAGACAAATATTGTATGACTTCACTTATATAAAAGAAGCTCTAGTAGAGTAGTGGTTAAGGCATTTGGCGACTAACCAAAAGGTCAGTGATTTGAACCCACAGCCCCTCCACAAAAGAAAGATGAGGCAGTTTGCTTTCATAAATATTTACAGCCTTGGAATCTCAATGGGGGTCACTATGAGTTGGAATCAACTCCATGGCAGTGAGCTTGGTTTGGTTTGGTTCACTTACATAAAAAGACAAGATACGGCAACTGTATAGAAACAAAAATTGAATAGTGGTTGCCAAGGCTGGGGGTAAGGGGGGCAATAAATGGTGATGGAAAAATTGCATTGATTAAAGTTAGGGTTGCACAGCCGATTATTGTAATTACTGTCAATAAGTTGTGCACCTGTTAATAAGCTGAATTGCAAAAGTTGTGTGGAGATATATCTACAACAAAGACCAAAGAGTGGCTGCTAAGGCTGCTTATCTACAACCAAACATGTCATGGGATTTGGTTCCTTGGTTTGAAGGATTTGGTTTCATGGTTTCAAGGGACATCCCAGTTAATTGATCTCATTAGGCATTTAGTGCTTCTGTTTTACTTCCTAGTTCATTGCATAGCACTTGGCATCTTAAAAGCTTGCAAGCAGCCATCTGAGGGACAACTATTGATTTTTATTCACCTGGAGGAACAGAGGAAGAAGGAGAATCAGGAATAGAACGATATATAGTGTGTGGCTAATTGCTCTGTAAACTAATAAATAAATAAACTTTGCCATGAGACCAGAAGAACTGGACAATGCCAAGCTATCATTACTAAACATTTTGATCAAAGATTCTATAGAACAATCCTAATCAGAAAGGGGAAAATGCAGAACAGAATTTCAAATACTAATGGACTCTGGACTTTCTGGAGCCATGTAGGGTGGATGAAACCCTGAAACTATTGTTGAGGTAATCTTTAAACCTTAAGCCAAAAATGTTCCCTGAAGTCATCTTAAAACCCAACAGTAGTTTAGCTTAACTAGCAAATAAGGTCTGCCTTGAGCATTATGTAAATTCTTTTAAGAATTATCTATATGGGATCTTATGGACAACAGCAACTTGAAAGATTAGATAGAACCTTAAGGGGCATTGATTTCATGTGAATGAGGGAAGGACGACTCAGAAAAGGAGGATGAGAATGGTTGCACAACTTGAAGGATGTATAATCAGTGTCCCTATCTTATATAAGTAGAAACTATTGAATTGGTGTGTTTGCTGTGTATATTCTCAACAATAACAAAAACAAAATAAATAAAATATGTTGTTGTTATGTGCCGTTGGGTCAGACCCGACTCATAGCAACCCCTCCTAGGGTTTCCGAGGCAGTATCACTACAGAAGTAGATTGCCCCATCTTCCTTCCGAGAAGTGGCTGGTGGATTTGAACCGCCAGCCTCCTGGTTAGCAGTCAAATGCCTTAGGCACTATGCTACCAGAGCTAAAAAGGAAAAAAAACTGGGAAGCAAAGTTCTGCTTGGATACACACAAGGTCACCATGACTCAGAGTCACTACTACCAGCAACTGGTTTTATAGTAGGCATTGTAGGGTATCTTTGTGAATGACAAAATAATATCAATTATTACATAAAATAGACATTTATGACACATGGATAAACCAAAATTCTATGTTTGGAAGACCTTTTGTCTTCCCATTAACTTTCATTATAAACACTTTTCTGGAGAATATTTTATTCTCAAAAGGTTATGAAATCAAAATGAGCAATATATCAAACTATTTTAAACCACTGATTTAAAAGAAAAAAGTTACTTTGTGGTAAATTATGAAAAATAATGCTTAAAATGTATATAAATTAAATTTATCCCAACTGGAATATCGGCCACTGTGTGAGGTACTATACCTGGAATTCTTAAAAATAAATAGTTGATAAACTTGTTGGTTCCATTTGGAAGTTTGCAATTTATCATCCAAAATAAAGATTGTAGGGTTTTTTACAATCTTCATTTTTGCAGACATAATAAAGCCATGAGGGTAGACAGAAACCTGTGAGAAGTTCCATGTTTTGGGGAGAAAGGCTGAGAGAAGAGTCAACAACAACAGAGTCCTTTTCCCCATATGTCTGACGTTCTAGCAGTGTATCAGATCTGCCTCTGATCCCTCCTGTCTGTATTTCAAAAACAATAACTTGGCATTTATGAACATAAAAATAGTTTTTAATGATTAATCTATGTATATGAATTTCTTCTAACCTCTAGCCTTTTCTTTGAGAAAGACACAGCTTTCAGGCAACAATTTATTGTTCAACCAGCTTGCCTTCCTGGCTGCTAACATTACTGGCATAGAACAGGGAGTGAATTTATGAAATCACCAACGAGGGCTCAACATATGAAATTTAAGCCATTTCTTACTCATTTGCTCCATGGAGAATTTCATATATGCCGAGTTGCCTTATAATGAAGGTTATTTGAACGGTCATGATTATGTTCCCTTTTCATTCCCTAGAGTCTGTTTTCCCTGAAACAGCACTATACTTAGGCCAAGATTCTTGATGAATCATCCAACCAGGAGAAATGGGGATTTTTGACAAAGAAAATACTTTTTGGCCCTTGAATATGTTTGAAAATAAACAGGAAAACAAAAATCAAATTCCTGGCACTAGGAAGTAAAATGTTACCTTTACCTGGTATTGGTAGTGCATATTATATTTCAAATATTTTCCTATCATTTTATTTCCTCCAGCACTCCTGTAAAATATGAATCCCAGTTTATACATCATGAAGCTAAGACTGGGATCTGAAGTCACTTGCTGTGGTGAGAAAGCAAGAGTATTGGGATGGGAGCTCAGAGCCCATGATAAATGTGTGGGTCAGCTATTCTTTGTCATGCCATCATTTCTGTCCACTCTTTTATCCCCTTTTGGTGTTATCATTTAAGGTTGGTTTGGCCTTTCTCAGAAGATATATGTCCAATCTCGGGTGCCCTTTTATTGTCTGGGCTGTGTTCAAATGATAAGACATACATCAAATGATAAGACATACATTTTATGCTGTTGTGGGAACATAATATAATACTATCAACAGTGTTACCCCCCCAAAAAAAAGTTTAGCCTCAGCATAATTTCTTTATAACTTATAAAAAGCATTTGATTTGAATGTTTCCCTTTGTAGATGTTTTCAGGAAAGATAGCATAAGGGCCTTTGGCATGCTGCTATACCTCATGGTTTCCCCAATGGCAAACTAAAGCCTAATGCCCAGAAAAATGCACTGCTTTTAAATGGAGCATCTTGTTAATGTTAAACTAAAGCCCACTCAGGAGACCTCGGACCTTAGAATTTCATAATTAAATAGATGTATAAGGGTTGTTCAAGATCATCTCAGTCCATATTATTATTGCATGGATAACAAACCAGTCACAGAGAGGTTAGTCAATTTACAGAAGATGAAGATGGTGACAGAGAAGAGAACTGAGAAGCATGTCTCCTGACTCACAGCCTGGTTTGCTTTACATGCTGCTTCAGAGCCTGCCTTTTTCTTTCGAAACTCACCGCCATCAAGTTGGACCCAACTCATAGCATCCCCTCCTTGGGTTTCCAAGGCAGTATCACTATGGAAGTAGATTGCCCAGCCTTCCTTCCGAGGAGTGCCTGGTGGGTTTGAACCACCAGCCTTCTGGTTAGCAGTCAAATGCCTTAGGCATTCTGCCACCAGAGCTCCCTTATCCTAACATAGTACTTGTACCCAGTAGCTCAGCAACCATTTGGAAAGTCACTGTAAAATTTTAAGATACAATTTCAGACAGTATGAAGAATTTTTTTTTGCTTTGAGTTTTTCTCAAACCAGAATCAATCCACCAAGATAGAAATAAATTTATGAAATTTTATCATTTCAACATCTAATGTGTTTGAGGAGTCCTGCTGGCATAGGTGAAGTGCTCATCTGCTAACCACTGGGTAGTTTGAATCCACCAATCGTTCTGAGAGAGAAAGATGTGGCAGTCTGCTCCCATAAAGATTTGTAGCCTTGGAAATCCTATGAGGCAGTTCTGCTATCTTTTAAGGGCACTATGAATTGGAATCAATGGCAACTTTGGTTATTTGGTTAATGTGCTTAGGCTTGTTTTTGTTTTGTTTTGTTTTTTAATTTCTGGTTCCTCGAATGGTGTTTTAGCATGGAGGAAGATAGAATATACTTACTTAGAAATTAAATTTCTAAGCTTTCCCTTTAATTGCATTGGTCAAGTAATAGTCCTAAATGGTTACCTTAGAAATTTCCTAACCTATCTCACTTGCATCCTTTACCATTGACCTTTTGTTAAATATATGCCAATAGAACTTAATTCATTTAATGTCAGTTTTATGAGGTTTCTTTTGTTTTAAGTATATTAAGGGCAAGCAGGCAGACTAGAAAATAATATCTCCGCCTTCCCAGCCAGAAATACATTTCTCAAGCCTCATTAACAAACAAAACTTATAATTAGACCACAGGACCCTCAGTTTCCACAACCCTGGGACCTAAAGAACTAAATGGTGCCCAGATACTATATGCATACTGACTGCTATGAAAGATCCTGGATAGAGTGGGAGTAAAGTACGAAAAAAACTCAAAATCATAGAAAAGACTAGTTCCACTAGTCTGATAGAGACTGGTGGAAACCCCAAGACTGTAGCCCTAATTCACCCTTCAGACTTAGAACTGAAATCACTCCCTTAGGTCATTTTTTAGCCAAACAATAGACATGTTTACAAGGTGAACAATAACACTAGGAATATGCATTCCTTATAACAGTCAGCCATTTGAGATCAAAGGGGCAGCATTTGCCCAAGGGCAAAACTCAAAAGGCAAGAAGGGTTAGGAAAAGAGGAATGGAAAGATGAAACACAGGGGGGTGAGTGATGTTACATTGAGGGATTGCAGTCAGTGACATGAAACAAATGTGTATGAATAGTTCCATGGAAAACTGATTTGCTCTGCAAAGTTCACCTAAATCACAATATGAAGTTTGTATGTGTTATATGTATGTATATATGTGTATGTATGTGTATATGTACTTATACACACATATATATACCAAACAAAACAAACAAACCACTGCCATCGAGTCGATTTTGACTCACATTGACTCTATCAGACAGAGTACAACTGCCCTGCAGGGTTTCTAAGGCTGTAAATCTTTACAGAAGCAAACTTGTTCATCTTTCTCACACAGAGCAGCTGATGGCTTCAAACCACTGACCTTTTGGCTAGCAGCTGAATGCCTTAACCAGCTGCATATTGAACTCAGAATGGGAAATAATGTAAATATGGCCACATTTTATATCCGTCATTAAAATGTAGTGGTTGGTTTGAGAAATGAAATCATTTATATGCCAGTGCTGAGCATTTCCTAGTGACAAGTTAACATTTTAAGGACAATTTTGTTGTACAAATTCACAAAATCTTTGACAAATGCTCCCCTGTTTAGGGATAAATATTTAAGCTTTAACCCTGTGTCTTCCTTTGCCTAAAGGATTAATTAGTATAAAAGACACTTCAAAGCTCAACTTCATAATGGGATGTTGCCATTAATGTTACACTGGCATTGCTTATTGATCTATAGTATTAATACTTTGGGTTATAGCTGTGAAATAGAGATTTTCTTGTATCTTTGGTGTATGTTAAAATTTAGTTCTTTTGTTTGTGTTGCGTAACTAGGCAGTTAACGTTGAATATCCCAGAGCCTACAGTTACAGAGCTAGAAATGAATTCTGAGATTATCTATTGAAATCAAAATCAAATTTCTTGACAAAAATCACAAGATAAATTACTGAAAGACACAGAGTTCCAACCTAATCACTTAATTTTCAGTTCAGAATCCTCCATTGTAAAAAAGTAAGATCCTGTGTTATGCTTCTTGTTGTTGTTATGTGCTACTGAGTCAGACCTGACTCACAGCCACAACTCCTTGGGTTTCCGAGGCAGTATCACTACCTGCACAGCAGAAACTGTTATTCTATAGACTGGACTAAGATTGAGATGTACCACCTCTAAAATAAAATAACAATAAACGTTTCCCAGATTGCTGGAGAAGAAAAAAGTAGTTGAATTAAATTACCTCAGTTTATTTTTTAACCAACTTTTTATTAAACTTTGGTGCTTAAAGATGAGTGACTATGCAGTAGTAAAATAATCCTGAAGAACACAGGATTTCAGAAATAATAAAAGCCATAGCAATTATTAGCCAAATTGAAACAAAGAAAAAAAGAGAGGCTCAACAATGACAAAAGCTAAGTTCTTTGAAAGGTGCTCTGGTGGTGTAGTGAGTAAGACATGTGGCTGCTAACCAGAAGGTCAGTGGTTCAAACCTGCCATCTGTTCCATGGGAGAAAGATGAGGCAATACTTCCATAAAGATTTACAGCCTTGGAAACCCAGTGGGGTTGCTATGAGTCAGAATCGACTTGATGGCAGTGGGGTTTACTTAGTTCTTTGAATGAAAAAAAATCTCATAAATAGTCAAAATTCCACCAATAAAGTAAGCAATAGGAAAGGGTCCAGTGAACAATACTAAGAACAAAAATACAGTAAGCATATAGTAATGATATTTTAAAATCATAAGAGAATATGTGAACAATTTCGTGCCAAGAAATTTGAAAATGAATAAGATGGATAATAGAGCATTTGTTGTTGTTGTTATGTGCCATTGAGTCATCTCTGACTCACAGCGAACTTATGTACAACAGAACGAAACGCTGCCTGGTCCTGTGCCAGCCTCACAATGCCTACTATACCTGAGTCCATCACTGCAGCCACCATGTCAGTTCATCTCATTGAGGGCCTTCCCCTCTTTCGTCAGCCCTCCACCTTACCAAGCATGACATCCTTCTCCAGAGAATGGTCCCTTCTGACAACATGCCCAAAGTACGTGAGACGAAGTCTGGCCATTCTTGCCTCCAAGGAGCATTCCAGCTGCACTTCTTCCAGGACATAATTAGTTCTTTTAGCAGTCCGCAGTACTTTCAGCATTCTTCACCAACACCACAACTCAAAAGCATCAACTCTTCTTTGGCCTTCCTTATTCATTGTCCATCCCTCACATGCATATGAGGCAGTTGGAAATACCATGGCTTGGATTAGGCGCTTCTTAGTCTTCAAGGAGATATATTTGCTCTTCAGCTCTTGAAAGAGGTCTTTTGCAACAAATTTGCCCAATGTGATACATCTTTTGATGTCTTGACTACTGCTTCCATTAGCATTAACTGTAGAACCAAGTAATAAGAAGTCTTTGACAACTTCAATCTTTTCTCCATTCATCATAATGCTGCTTATTGCAGTTGTGAGGATTTTTGTTTTCTTTATATTGAGGTATAATCCATACTGCAGACTGTGGTCTTTAATCTTCATCAGTAAGCGCTCCAAGTCATCCTCACTTTCAGCAAGCAAAGTTGTGTTAACTGCGTATCTCAGGTTGTTAATGAGCCTTCCTCCAATCTCCATGCCACATTCTTCTTCATATAGTCCAGCTTCTTGGATTGTAATAGAGCATATGTTACCAAAATTGAGTCATAAATAGAAAATCTAAACAATGTCAAGCCATTAAAAATTTAGTATGTGATCAAAAATATGCCACCCATCAGAAAAGACTAGATAGTTTTACCAGTTAAGTGTTATCAAGCATTACAGATTACTACAGAAAAAAAAAATGAGGAAAACTATTCATTTTACATGGCTAGCATGAACTTTACCTAGTACAAAATTTATATATCAAACTGGTGAACATGCATATGATGTTGTTGTTGTTATGTGCCTTCAAGTCGGACCCGACTCATAGTGACCCCTCCTTGGGTTTTTGAGTCAGTATGACTATGGAAGTAGATTGCCCCATCTTCCTTCCGAGGAGTGGCTGGTGGGTTGAACCACCAGCCTTCTGGTTAGCAGTCAAGTGCCTTAGCCACTATGCTACCAGACATGGTAGCAAAACATGCATATAAAAATCTAAAATATTCTCGCTGGAGAAGGAGGCAGAGACTAGACCATTCAGGGCCTTAATAGAAAATGGTAAAAAGGTTGAATGTTGTTCTATGAGTGATGGAAGTCACTGAAGCATTTTAGGTAGGGGAGCCCTGGGTTCTGATGCATATTTTTTAAATGGGAGCACTTAGAATAGATTCTTGCAGTGGTTCAGATGATAAATGGTGGTGGCTAGGATAAGATAATGATGGATAATATGATGGAGGTGATATGAAGTTGTCAGATTTTCAATATA